TATGGCTGGTTCAGCCACTGCTCATACTCAAATTTAAAATCTTTTGGTTGGTAGTCAAAACTCTCAACCAACATATCAAAATGAGCTGTATAATGGGATCTTAATCAAATTATCAATTTATCAAAGTGTAATGTATATAATAAAAATTTAAAAAGAATTAATTATCTCTCAGTCGAAGTTCAAATGGTCCTAGGGTTCCTCAATTTAACCTCTTCCAACGGAGAAGAAAGTTGCCTAAGTGGATTAAAAAGATGCTTTAGGCATCACAGAAGAGAATCATGCTGACTCTCACCTAGGATCTATAATATAAAATAAAGCTCCGAAGTCAAAACTCTAAGAAGATATGGAGATAGAAATATCACGAAGCAATGTGTCTAACGCTACCAAACCCAAAATTTTTAGGCAAAAAATAGACTATTTGAGATTTGACCCAACAAATTTTCCAACAACAATCACACAATTTAATCTAAATTATCAACCATTCCAATTTTTTCTTAAAAAAAGGTTTATAGAAAAAAATATGAAATTATCTGACGGGCTTCGGCCATCTCCAATCGAACGCGAAACAGGTGTTTGTCATTCACCATCTGCTCCATTCAAACGCTAATTTCACCGGCAATTTTGTGACGTGAACAGTGAGACTCCAATATTGACATCGCACTATTCACAAATGCTTTTTTTTTTTTTTTGGTTGAAAAAACATGATATAAGAAGGAAGAAGATGATGAATTTGCCTATCCGATAGAACAGAGAAGCAACAATTCTATCGGAAATTGTGTGTAGAAACTTAATCTCTAATGAATAAGGCAAATGTATTTTTGGAGAAACTTGTATAACCATATCAATAATTTGGTCAAGTAATTTAAGAAAAAATCTTAATTTGTAAATGAATAAATCAACAAAGTTATAATTTTTTATTATATAATATTTAAGGTTTTAATAAATGAGAAAGAATAACACATAATATTCTTTTTTAGTGTTAAAAATGAAGTTGGGTTGAAGATAAATTACTCTTTGATGTGACTGTTATCGTATTTTGAACTGAAAAATGAGTTTTTTAATGGACAAATTTATAAAAGAGAATCGTTGATTAATTTAATTAGGTGAAGGAGATAAATATGATGAATCCAAGATCAAGAATGCCCAAATTTGAGTCTAAGTGAGTCTAAATAAATCACTTAAGAGCCATAAATGGAAATCACTTGAGGCAATTTAAAGGGTTAAATAACCTCCCAATTTTTTACGTTTATAATTGAAATGAAAATCCTAATGAGATAAATATGATGAATCCACGATCACGCAATTTCGAATTTTTTAAGGCACTCAAATGTTAAAAAAATTTATGAGACCTATTAAGATCTTTCACAAGTGTCCAAAATTCTTGAAAAAATGATCAAAACATCACTTCTGAAATGCACAAATAGGTCATATTTCTATACAATGAGAGGAGGAATTTCGAGCAAAGATAAAGTTGAGATTCAAATAAAATTTCAAAGCTCTAATACAATTCGTCACTACCAAAATATCACCCAACACCTGAAGAAATTATTGTGTACGCCGAACGCAGTTTACCGTTCGGAGACCAACCAGAATGCGCCACGTCAGCAGTACTGAGCCGGGCAAGGAGTGACGTGACGCATTCTGATTGATCTCTGGACAACTTTCGGCGTCCGCACAAAATAATTTCTCGATCATCACCTGACACTCACACGCATCCTTTGCATAACACCAACCATTTACTAACTTCTATTATTGTCCAAAGTCCAATATCGATTGTTAGCCATATCGTTGATTGTTTATCGTATTGATGATCGTTTATCATTGCTACCTATCTCTTAATACCAATAGTTGATAGACAGTGACACCCATCATTGTTTGTCACTCGAAGCTAATTGCCACTGCCACCCAATTTCAAATGTTTCTAGTTAATCATTATGCATCAACAACCTTTAACAAGTAACATCCATCTTCTCATGGGAGGGGCAGGCGTGGTCGTTGAGTGTTTGTTGGTTGCTGCAATGTTTCTGTTTTATTTGCTATTTAGTGTGGTTTCGGTTGCTACAATGTTTTTGCATTTGTGGTTGATGGGTTGGCCGGTTAATTGGTTCGATTTGGACGATGAGGAAGCGGCGAGGCTGCAAGCGTTGTGGACGGCCAGGGTTAGTTGGCAACCTGGTGGGCCCTTCGATTTTATTTTTTTACCAGTGGATGGTCACGCCCTTGCAACCCGATGCTGGTCTGAGTCCGTTGGTATCAACCTTTTATTCTGGTGGGCCCTTTTGCTTTTTTGATTGTAAGCCTCTGATGTGGCCCTTTCTAGGGTCTTCTTTTTGTAATCTTTCTGGTTCAATAAATTTGGCGTTTAAAAAAAAAAATTAACATCCATCTTCTTAATCATCCATCAAGTTAAGTGTCCATCATTGTTTAACTTGCAATGTTCCATGTTGATTGTCGCTCAATGCCTACCAACAATTGGTATCCGTGGGCCTACCAATATTTGGCCTCCCCTCATTAAGAAAATGACTCAAGTTGACAATTGATCATCTCCTAATTTCTAACATTCCTTGTCAACCATCATCTGATCGTGACTGACAATTGAAGTTCATTAATTCTGAAATCCAACATTTGTTAACCACCGGCTTTCGACATTCATCTTTCGATCATCCAGTCTCCCCTCCTATCAAGATAACGAACAAATCGGTGGCCTATAGTCATCCAACTTCTAACATTCTACATCAACTATTACCCAACACCAACTAACAGTAAATAATTGTCGACCAATAATAAATACTATGTATTCCTGATCCCCTTGTTATCAAAAGAATGAATAAGTAAAATGCACACCATCACCTAACATCAATCGATAAACACCATCAGTTAGCCACCAACATCTGATGCTGGTCTTCCAAATCGACAGTTCTTGCTTCCTATCAGGAGAATAAATAAGTCAAATATCTGCAATTACCCAACTTTTCATGTTATAAACCTTTGATGTAAGTCAGCAACCAACATCTTGCGCTTATCTCTCGTTTGCTATCACCCCTCTTATAATGAGAATGACCTACTTATCATAAAAATTTGAATGCAGCTTAGTAGAATAAATTTCTATCTTGGACAGAAATCCTACAAGGGATTCTTTGTTACAAAAATTAAAAAAAAAATGCTCATCTTTGATCATTCCTACAGTAGCATAAGTATTCATAAATCTCTATTCATATAATAAATATCATTAATACAAACTTGTATTAAAAAAATATATAAAACTGTATACAAATAAACGAATATAAAACTTCCTTGAGAAATTTCTATGAGAAATGAAAAAATAGAATCAAGAAATTCTTATAGAAATTTATCTAGATGAACTTAAAAATTATAGAATTTACTTTGAACATAAAATTGTATCAACAAAGTTCCACCATGGGACAATTTTGATTCCTTTTAAAAGACTTGAGGGATAAAAATGATCCTTTAATATAGTTGAGGACTATTTTGATTATTTTTTTAATTTATAAATAAAATTTATATCCTAATTTAATGACATCTAAAGACTAATATTAATATATTACAATATTTCAATGTGTAATTCTAAAACTAATGATTATTTAAATAGAAAACTGAGGCTTCGTTCGGGGCGGCTTTCTTATCGCTTCTTAAAACATCATTCTAGTATAAAAATTTTAATTTTTGAACTAAAATACTGCTTTAAGAAGCAGTAAAAAAGCCGTCCCAAACAGAGCCTAAATAAAACACAATGTTCAAGTGACAACACCAAAATCTAATAAGACTCGCTTCTTAGCATCTTAATAATACAGACATCTATAATATTGAAGCAAATAGCCCATAAATTAATTAAATTTATAACTTTTTCTTGGGTTAATCACCTTCTGTTTAAATAAAATACCATAAATATGTTTTCAAGTTCAGAAACTCTCAAATACCAAAGATTTGCACAATCCAGGGACCAACTAACCTGATATTTAGCTACTTGAAAGTAAACCTGGAACTCGGGCTCGAGATGCAAGTCAATACGTATTGAGCAGAGTAAAAAGCATAGTTAGATCTCTAAATCTGCATGGAATCATCAGCTAGTTCTACTACAATAGCAATAAAGAATCTAAGTAACAACTCTATACACGCAAAGCATTGATCCAAGAAGTTTGACAGACAAGATAAGACAAGACAACCCAATCAACATCAGAAATCATCAAAAGAATATACCCATACTGGAAAAACAAGTTGAAGAAATGCACTAGCCAAGCATGGAAGATGTGTTGCCTTTCTTTAATAAACCTATCCACACTAGCATTTGAAGCCATGGCAAACGGAAAGGACGATGATGAGTATTAGGGCGATGATGATACCTAAAACAATAAGCTTAACCTTCATGTTCTGCAACCACATCTTCCTCCTTATCTTCGTTCCCTGCTGCCTGAAATCTTGCGCCTACAACAGCAAAAATAAAAAAGAGAGAGAGAGAGAGACTTGGGAAAATGGTCTTGCAATAATTGCTAAAAACGATATGTACGTAAAGAACTTACCTGGGAGCGAAGATTTTCAGTCTTGTCAACAAGGAGCTCAATTTTCTCTCCGCGATCCAGAACCTACAAAGCAGAGTTCTTTGCGTAGTTGGAATATGGAGTAATCAAAAGACCAAAAAAAAAAAAGGAACAGCAATAGAAAGTCCAACATCAACAAATGTGACTATTAGCAGCTCGATGTACGCACATTTGAAGCAGAAAGCTTACCTTTTCTATATTCTCCATCATGACTCCTTTAACTTCTGATACCTGAGCTTTTACTTTAGCAAGTTTGCTAATCTCCTCTGGGTGGTCGGCACAATACTGCATATGCTCCTTCAGCTTTGGACTGAAATTTAAGTAGAACTGAGTTTTAGATGGTTTTCACAAAGGTATTACCAATCACGCAGTAGCAAATACACGAATTTAACCATGCAATTAAAGCAAATACCCAAATTCCCGGCTGAGACCATTGGCAGCAGCAGTTGCAGCTTTTCCTCCCCCATATCTCTTGGCGAAATCTTCTTTGACTCTTTCCAGGAAAGCCATGGGAATTTGTCTGCCGACTGATTCAGCTGCAACTACACAATACGCTGCAAAAGCAACAGGGGGATAAAGTTACACCCTTTTGATAATGGAAATTTCTTCTACATTGCTCAGCTACAAATACATTTATGCTGGTAAAATCAATGACGGGAAAGATGAAGCATTATCTAACTAAAAACGGTAGAAAGTTCAAGAATTATTTAAGAATAATTCATCAATAAAAACAACTGTTAATCCAGATTAATAAAGCAGAGACGATCATAAGAATCACTTTTCAATTTTCAAGAATCTAAGCACTTCCAAAAGATATGAACATACAAGCTTATTTATGTGGTCATAATGAACATTACAATCTTGATTTCTTGAATAGAGTTAAACATCAGCATATTATTCTGGATCCAAAATTTGTCCAATCCAAATATGCAAAATGGGTTACAAATAAGACAAAACAACAAACAATTACAAAAGTCTACCAAAGAAGAAGGAATAAACATATGTCACATGACAACATTATTTTGGCAACATAAATAATATGGGTCCACATGTGTGAGAAAGCACTAGTGACTAGTCTAATATTTGTCTTTTATTTGTTTTAGGTAGAACAGGTTTGTAGTAGCTTGTTGATCTACCTAAACATTATAAATATCTCTCTAGATGTAAACAAAAGGATTATGGAATAAAATTTTTGGTTTCTCCTTTCTTCTCAAATATCTTCTATTTCTTTTGAAAGTTCACAACTACTATAAAGGTGCCTAATCTTCTTGATCCTTCAAGAAACTTAACAAATGACGCTCTAATTGCACTAAACTCACATTCCCTATTCTCTTCTAGCCGATCAGCTCTCCTCCTCCACTCAGCTGCAGCCTTTCAGCTATCCTCTGCCGCAAGCTTCAATCCACAAAACTCCATACCGCAGCCTTCCAGTCACAACCGCACATCTCCTTCTTCCAGTCAAAACCGCAAATCCTTCCGGTCGCACTTCTTCCGCGAGGATTGGACAGATTTTTGGGTGACAGCATTCTGTCCTGCAGTGTCTCCAGCTCTTCTTTCCGATCCTAAAACTTCAAGAACAGCAGTTTTCCACTTCTTATAGCCGTTGTTTCAAGCACAGCTACCACTAGAGGACAACTACTACTTTCAAAATAAAACAAACTCTGATTTCAACCATAATTCCTGCAGTATTTTGACAAGAACCAGCTTCTTACAGCTGTTTTGTGTTCCCATTCAATCATCAACCTGTTTCAACCAATCAACAACACCGATAGTCATTGTTTGGCCAACTGAACCTATTCAGTCCATTGCTGCTATTCGGTAGTTAACGTCAAGTTCTCTGTTTTTCTTTTAGGCTTCATTTGGGATGGCTTTCTAACTGCTTTCTGAAGTAACTTTTTAGTACAATTTCTTAGTTTAAGAAATTTTTGTACTAAAAACTGCTCTAGAAAGCAATAAGAAAGTCATCCCAAATAAAGTCTTAGTTAATTTTTATTCTTCTTATTTCTTTTCCAAATTCATTTTTCTACTTGTTTTTCTATCTTTTCATGATTGCAGGATTTTGGGCACCATCTTTTTCTCTTCCTCCATCAATTTTACACAATGAAAAACGTTGATCTAGCTGAAGCCCTATGCACCATGCAATCCAACCAAGAAATACAATTTTAAAAATCGAAAATTCACTCCAACAAGTTGGCCTCCAATTTGCATCCATTGGGATGACTCTCCAACAATTTCATGTTTTCATGGACTTTGTTGACAAATACCTAAACACCATATGTTTGATCGACCTCTCTCCTCACCCCATCAAGATTCTAGCTAGATCTTCATCTAGCATTCTGGGATCGAGCAACCAAATCCCTTCTCATAACCCATCTCCACCTCCTACGAATTTTTCTTTTCTTAAAACCATGAAAAGTGAACTTCCTCATTTTAATAGGACATATCTAGAAACTTGAATCTTTAAGGAACAAGAATATTTTGATTTTCATAATACTCCTGAATGCCATCATATTAGCATCACATCTTTTCACTTAGAAGGTCCGGCAGCTACTTGGTACCAATGGTTGTGTATGAAGGGCCAATTATTCTCTTGGCCCAACTTTATCATTTCCTTACAACAACTATTTGGTATCTCTATGTATGAAGATTTACATGAGAATCTTTTTAAACTAACTCAACAAAATTCTATTAGCACTTCTTCACATTGCAAAAATCTAAGATTTTTTTCTTACAACAACTATTTGGAATTAGCACTTCTTCACATTGCAAAAATCTAAGATCTTTTTCTACTCCTTACTCATCATACTAAAAAATCATACCATCTTCCTTTCAACAATATTACTCCTAATTCTTTACATAATAGCATCAAATCAACCTATACATCACCTCACATTTCTCGCCTCCCTCTTCACTCGTCTATCCCAATTATTTCTAAGTCTCCAAATCTTTCAATCCGAAAACTTTCACCATGTGAAATTCAATTGCGCTGTGAAAAGGTCTATGTTTTCACTATAACGCAAAATTTGGCCCCCAACATCATTGCTCAAAAAAATTCTCTTATTCGACAACGATAACTCAGAATAAGTGGATGACTCTTTCCTCTATTCTATCAGTGAGGAAAATCCAAATGCTCAACCCGAAACCAGTCTCATGCTTAATCTGCGGAGTTCAACCCTCGTTCTTTCTGATTAACCGGCTCTATTAATATTATAATATGCACATATTAATTGATAGTGGTAGCAGTCATAATTTCATTCAAGAATACCTTATCACCAAATTATCTCTTCATCCTGAACCTATTAAACAATTTATCATTTATGTGGGCAATGACAACTTATTAGCTTGTAATTCTAAATGTCCACAGTAAATATTACCATTCAAGGCTATCGGATCGGTATAGATATATTCGTTCTATTCATTCATGGCGTTGATATTGTTCTTGGCATGCAATGGCTACAATCTTTAGGACATGTTTTACACGATTATCAAAACATTACCATGCGATTCCATAATCATATATGCATATTACACTAACAGGTGAACCACAATTACAATGTTATCCTATTTCCTTTTAACCAGCTTTGTGCAATCATTTCCCATTCAACTTTTCGCTATTCAATCACACATCATAAATCCAATTTCTTTTTCCCCTACAAACTTATTAACTGACTTCATATATAAACTCAAAACTCCATTACCCCTTTCCATCTCTAATCTCCTCAAACAATTCCAACACTTATTTCAAATTCCACAAGGCCTACCAACACCTCGCACTATTAATCATTGTATTCACCTTCCTCCATTAGCTAAACCTGTTAACATCCGGCCTTACCGTTATCCACATTTCCAAAAAAATGCAATAGAGCAATTAGTCTTTGAAATGCTTCATGCCAGAATTATTCATCATATCCATAGCCCTTTTTATAGTCCATGATACTTCGCTTTTTGCATTGATTATAGAGCTCTTAATGTCCTTACTATAAAGATAAATTCCCTATTTCTACCATAAATGAACTTCATGGAGTGATTATATTTACTAAACTAGATCTACGTTCAGGCTATCATCAAGTTCGAATGCATCATCATGACATTCATAAAATTGTTTTTCAAACTCATGAGGGACATTACGAATTTGTTATTATGTCATTTGGGCTAACAAATGCTCCGCCGACATTTCAAGCATTAAATGAATCAAATCTTCTGTCCATTCCTTCACAAATTTGTTACAATCTTCTTTGACAACGTCTTGATATACAAACCCACACTCAAACTCCATGTTGATCACCTTACTCTGGCTTTTCAATGCTTATAAACACATCATCTTTTTATAAAACTTAATAAATGTCGATTTTGTCAATCTTCCATCGAATACCTGAGTCATAATGTCTCCCCAGGAACTGTCCAACCCGACCCTACTAAAATTACAACTATAACAAATTGACCAGTTTCATCCTCTTTATGCCAACTACGTTCATTCTTAAATTTCACGGGCTTTTATCGACGATTGATATCCCATTATGCTTCTATAGCCACTTCATTAACCAAACTTCTCTAAAAAGATTCCTTCAAACAGGACGACACAAACTTAATTGTTTTTCAAATTTTCAAATTAGCTATGACAACTGCACGAGTCTTAGCCTTATTTGATTTCACAAAAACTTTCATTCCTAAAAGAGATGCTTCCAACATGGGCATTGTTGCGGTTCTTTTAAAACATAATCATCCCATATTCCCATTTCTTTTTTAGCAAAAGATTATGCACAAAAATCTCGATGTCATTGACTTATAAAAAAGAATTATATGTTATTACTGAAGTTGTTTCCAAAAGACGATAGTATATGATAGGAAATAAATTTATTATTCGCATCGATCATCAACGTTTACGCGAACTTCAAACTCAGGTAATCCAAACACATGATCAACAATAACATCATTGCAAGCTTTTAGGATTAATTTTTTTATTGAATATAAGCCAAAAAAAAAAAATCGTCACCAACTCCTTATCTAGACAACCAGAAAACCCTTTAACTTCTTCTTCCTTACTAACCTTAACTATACTTTCTCTTTCTCTAATTAATGATATTAAAAATAAATCACTTCACTATCCAGATATTCTTCATATTGCTTCTCACCTTAATAACGGCACTCTCTAATACACTTCATCAATTTCGTGATCCTATTATTTACTATAAAAGTCGTATTTACCTCTCAAAAGATTAATCCCTCAAACACCAAATCCTCACAGATTTCATTCCTCACCTCTTGCGGGTCATCAAAGCATTCTTAAGACAATCAAATGAATTTCGACTATTTTTTATTAGTTTGGGCTTTATCAAGACGGTACTGATTTTGTTAGTAAATATCTTATTTATAAAGAAATCAAATAGGCTGCTCTTCATCTGGCATGCCTTTTATCTCCTATACCAATACCTTTGCAAATATGGGAAAACTTATCTATGGACTACATCAATGGTCTACGTAATTTTAAAGGTTATACTATTATTTTGGTAGTCGTTGATCGTTTATCCAAGTTTTCCCATTTTGATTCCATACT